TTTATGTTGTGATAAGAGGAAGCTAGCTCTTCCTAGCTCTTACCATTTAGGAGGAGTTCTTGCACAGATAGACAATTTCTCTCAAATATATAATAGATTATAAAAACCAAAAGCAAAGATTTGCATAAATTAGTAGATTACTGATAATGAAAAATGTTATATCTCAGCTACATTAATGTCCACTTGCTGATTACAGGCAGTCCCCGGGTTACATGGATCCGACTTACATCAGATCCCTACTTACAAACGGGGTGAGGCAACCCCGCACTAGCTGCTTCCCCCCAGCAGACCAGGGAGACGCAAAGCTAGCACCCCTCCCAGCCGACCAGGGAGACGTGGAGCGGCTTTTCTCAGCAGACACCTCAGCTTGAGAATAAAGGACTGAGGGAAGTGAGGTGTGGGAGAATAAAACTGAGCTCTGGAGAAATGTTTGGCTAGAGTTTCCCCTACAATATGTACCAGTTCCGACTTACATACAAATTCAACTTAAGAACAAACCTACAGTCCCTATCTTGTACGTAACCCGGGGACTGCCTGTAGATACACTGACTTGTCAAATCCTGGTGGTAATGTTTCAACTGCTATGAGCTTATTTTTTATCAGTTGAAAATACCCCCATTATTCTAAGAATTTTTTCAAAGATCCTAAGTCAGAACTTTGGTCGTGGTTCTTAAACAATGTTGCCACTATTTTCCATGATGCTGTTTCCAAAATGGAGGGGCAGAAAGTATCGGCGCCAGAAGCCTCGTGAATATTTGTGGTTGTATCAGAATTTAGAAGAAAAGTTTTTGCTGCTCAAACTAAGAGAACTGCAGAAGAAAATGTCTAATGATGATATTCATTGTGATTTGGATCTGGTGCAGCTGGTAATGGGGGAGTTCTTTGTTAATTATCTGAATTATCTAGCCCTGAATGGAATGATCTGGAAAAGACATGTTTAGGATAGTCAAGACAGAAGCAGACTGTGAGGGACTCCAAGAAGATCTCATCAAACTGAGTGATTGGGCAACAAAATGGCAAATGAAATTTAATGTGGATAAGTGTATAGTAATGCACATTGGGAAAAATAACCCCAACTATACGTACAGTATGATGGGGGATAATTTGGCTACGACAAATCAGGAAAGAGATCTTGGAGTTATCGTGGACAGTTCTCTGAAAACTTCCACACAGTGTGCAGCGGCGGTCAAAAAGGCAAATAGGATGCTAGGAATTATTAGGAAAGGGATAGAAAATAAGACCCAGAATATCTTACTGCCCCTGTATAAAACTATGGTACCCCCACATCTTGAATACTGTGTACAGATGTGGTCTCCTCACCTCAAAAAAGATATTTTGGCCTTGGAAAGGGTTCAGAAAAGGGCAACTAAAATGATTAGGGATTTGGAACGGGTCCCATATGAGGAGAGGTTAAAGTGACTGGGGGTATGTCTACACTACCCCGCTAGTTCGAACTAGCGGGGTAATGTATGCATACCGCACTTGCTAATGAAGCCCGGGATTTGAATTTCCCGGGCTTCATTAGCATAAGCGGGGAGCCGCCCATTTTTAAATGTCCACTAGTTCGGACTCCGTGCCCCCTGGCTACACGCGGCACGAACTAGGTAGTTCGGACTAGGCTTCCTATTCCGAACTACCGTTACTCCTTTCATTTGGTGTCCTCTAGTTCTTCTATTTTGGGAACTAATAAATAACTTTTCTTTATCAGCCCTCTCCACACCACTCATGATTTTATAGACCTCTATCATATCCCCCTCTTAGTCTCCTCTTTTCTAAGCTCATCACCCTAGCATCTGAGCACTGCCAGTAGTGCATGAAGGGCTGTGACTACTGCCTGTCATGTGTTGTTTGTTCTCGTCTCCTTTCCTAGGGGGGAAAGCGTCATGTTTTGGTAGGGTTTTTTGGCTTGTTTCCATACCCATGGAAGGCAAGGCCAAAGATATGCACTTTGGACCTGGAGCAGAAGATGGTGATATCTGAGGTGGTTTGTGGTTTCTGAGGGAGTTCCTTCCACAGCAGTGGGGCCAACAGGCTCATCTGGCCCTTGGGACAGCTCCTTGCCTTGGGAAGGGGGGTGTCCTTGGACAGAAGGGGTGAGGCTGGGGCTATCTTCTCCCAGACACCTGCAGTGTGCCGCATCTCTCCCAGGCAGCCCTCAGCGCTGCCCAAAGCACTCCTTGTGGCGCTCTGGCAGTGATTTAAAGGGAGAGGGATGGCAGGAGACAAATCTCTTGATCATTGTCTTCGGTCCACCCTCTCTGGGGCACCTGGTGCTGGCCACTGTCAGTAGACAGGATACTGGGCTAGATGTACCTTTAGTCTGACCTAGTACGGCCGTTCTTATGTTCTTATGACATGGAATCTTTTCTAAAGTGCACTTCCCACTTTGTCACATGATGATCTTTTTAATGAACTTTGTATCCTTAAATCATATCTTAATGAGAACTTGCTAGCCGAATGGGACAAGGAGAAATTATCTACAGATCTGAGATGGTTGAATGTACTTAAAGATTTTCCCCATGAAAACATTAATATTCCAAACATAAAGAAAATGTGCAAATTTGTCCCCTTGCTGCTGGGTACGAACGCTGTGTTCAAAAGGTCATTTTTGCTGATTAACAACTTTTGGGGATTTGAAAAGTCATGATGACCATTGAAACTGTAAAATCTCTCTTGATGATCCAAATGAATCAGTCATATACTTGCCAAGAGATGTTTAAAAAAATTAAGAAGAAGAAACAATTATTGAGCAAGCTGAGTTCTTCAAACAAGTACAAGTGGAACAATATGCCATCAACTTCAACAGTAGATGAATGATGAAAATGACAATGTAAATTTTGTATTAACCTATATATATTTATTTTTTCCTGAATTTTGTATTTCTTTTCATGCAGTTCTTTTCAATGAAGGTGATTTGTTAAACGTATAACTAAATGTGATTTAATTTTTGTACTTTTGTATGACTTTTCATATACATAAATTGACACATCAGAAAAAAAATCCTTTGTCATATCATGTGTCACCGTGGTCAAATCCACTCTTGGGGCAGTCTATGAGGCCCAAATCTATCCTGATTGGTAGAGGGTGGTAGCAGAAATTCTTAGTGGCATCACAAGACCCATTTCTGGACAGATCATTCTGCCCCGTCACTGCCCCGATTGGTCAAATCTGCTATTGGTACAGCCCTATGGGACCCAAGCCCATCCTTTGTGGAGGATGGTGGGAGGAGTTCTTAGAGGGGTGACCTGACACCTTTTACTTCCAGTCATGTATCCATCTTTACCCTGGAAGTACTTGACCCTGGGACTTCCTTGTGGCAGGGAGATGGGGCTTAAGCAGACAGGGGAGAGGCTAACCGGGTCAGGGGCATGGCTAATGGGGTTAGGAGTGTGGCTAACAGGGGGTGTGACTGAAGTTTGATGGTAGTACCCTTATATGATGTGTCCCCATTTTGGTTTGGAAAACATGGTCACAGTAGCCAACTCAGTAGTAGCAGCTCTCTGTCCTGATTGATGTTGCCATGCATTATGGGGATTTTATTCTGATCTGGATTAATGTTGAAATGTAAAGCAATAGAGTTTTGTGGCTTTGTGTGTGTGTGTGTGTGTGTGTGTGGTACTAAAAGTTAGACAGGAATACAATCTGTTGATGAGAAGAAGACTGAATTTTGTGATATAAGCTTAGAAAATGTGGGATTTTTCTCTGAACTTCTTTCACAGATGTGAGAAAAAGAGAAACAGTGCATCTTTAATTCTTAAAGACCATTATCATTATGTATTTCTTCTTTGTGATGATGATATGCATGGGTGGAGAGAACATTTAATTAGCATCATGCAGTCTCTGTTCTTCTAACAACCCTCTTAGTCTGTGCAGATGCAGCGGTAAATACGTAAAACCAGATAATTTAAAAAGAAAATATGAATTTAATCATATACATTTACTGGAGACTTAATCAGTGGTTTTTCTGTCAAAAGGTCATGTACTGACCCATGAGACTTCCTCTATAATTCAAAGGTATTTAATAGATCTTAGCAGAAGCCTGTTATTAGAACCATGCAAACTAGAAGAGGAAAAGACCTGTTAGGTCAGTAGTCTGCAGCATTACTATGGTGTAAAAGATAGGAGATTCATACCAATATGTCAGTGCTGACCTAAGCAAATTAAATAATTAATTGCAATTCTCTCTCTTCAGTATTTTAAATACATTATTTTTTAATTAGAAATCTCTACATTGAGGCTACGTCTACATTGGCATCCCTTTCCGGAAAAGGGATGCTAATGAGATGAGTCGGAATTGCAAATCCGCGGGGGATTTAAATATCCCCTGCGGCATTTGCATTTACATGGCTGCCGCTTTTTTCCGGCTTGGGGATAAGCCAGAGAAAAGCGCCAGTCTAGACGCGATTCTTCGGAAAATAAGCCCTTTTCCAGAGGATTTCTTATTCCTACTTGAAAGTAGGAATAAGAAATACGAAATCCTCCGGAAAAGGGCTTATTTTCCAGAGAATCGCGTCTAGACTGGCGCTTTTCTCCGGCTTATCCCCAAGTCGGAAAAAAGCGGCAGCCATGTAAATGCAAATGCCGCGGGGGATATTTAAATCCCCCGCGGATTTGCAATTCCGAAGTGTCTAATCTGCATCCCTTTTCCGGAAAAGGGGTGCAGTGTAGAGACAGCCAGAGAGTTGGATGGGAAAATTCTGCCCTCAGTTACATCTACACAGTTGGAATAAGTATGGTACCCTAGTGTTAACAAGGGAAGAATTTAGCCCATACAGCTTTTCTTTCTTTCTTTCTTTCTTTCTTTCTTTCTTTCTTTCTTTCTTTCTTTCTTTCTTTCTTTCTTTCTTTCTTTCTTTCTTTCTTTCTTTCTTATTAGTAACTTTGAAGCTGGTTAAACTGACTAGATTCACTTACTCCACCAAAAAACCTCCCACAGCTTCTCCCTTTGATTCTTCTCATTGGAAGTAACTAGTGTTTATTATCTTTTTTGTATTGCACAGAACCTTGCGAGACAAATAAATTCGTCAGATGATATATATATCATAGAGTCATCTACCAGCGGTTTATTCAGTCTCACTCAAGAAGGTGCTCAGTTGTGCCGCATCATAGCCAAGGTAAGGAGCACACAGATTGGTTCAGCATAGAGTTTACTTGCTGGTTTCAGTATAGTTGCAATTGCCCAGATGTTTTCCAAGTGTTGAGGGATGCACTGCTGGGGAAGTTGCTTTTTGTTCTGAGAGGGTGAGTAACGGAATCCAGATGCAAGTCTAGAACTAGATTAATTATCATGTATTATGGGGCTTGTTGGATGATTTAGAGTTCCTGGTGGGATATTTATGATAAATATACTATACAGATTGTAATACAAATTCTGTAGTGCATAAGGCTGATCCCTTTTATTTAAGCTAATCCAGTGTAATGAAAAATATTTTTATTTTAAGAAACCCTTTTTTCCCTTTTATTTAAAAAATCCAAAAATATGGATAGACAGGGCAGAAGCAACTGGGGAAAGAATGGCACAGATGCCATTGCATTGTAAGTGTCATGGAATATGTGACCCTATCTCAGTACTGACATGTTTTAATGTAATTGTGGTGTTCATAACACAGCTATTTACTTAGAGGTTGAAATCTTTTGTGAGGTACTAATTCAATATTTCTCCCCTTAAATTCCTTTGCATGGGGCTAATAGTAATGATGGAACTCTGAACCCTCCTGAAATAGTCTCAGAGGGGTAACCATGTTATCCAGACCTTTAAAAACAGTGAGGAGTTCTATGGAACCTTAGGATGTGTCTACACAGCACATATTTCAAAACAGAGCACTCTTCCTCTGACTTGCTTTACTCCTTGTACAATGAGGGTTACAGGAGTTGGAGTAAGAAGTCCTTCAGCTTGACAGTATTCTGACATTATTTCAAAATAACTGCCTACTGTGTAAACGTGGACTAAGTTATTTCAAAATAACGCTAGTTATTTCAAAATAATGTTGCTGTATAGACATATCCTTAGAGCAATGGTTACCAAACTTTTTAGCATCATGCCCCCTTTTTGATTTTTGAAAAACCCCCCCTCCCCCCCAAAATAGCAGCAAAACTTGTTGAGCAAAAAAAAAAAAAAGGAAAAACAGTTGCGGCCCCTTTAATTCCTGAGACCAGGCTCTTTTTTGGGGGATGATTGATGGGGGATGGGGTGGGGGGGATGGGTCGCCTTGCACCCCTCCCTGGAATTTCTTCACATATTCCAGGGGGGCATACGCCCCCCGCCCAGTTTGAGAACCTATGCCTTAGAGACTAATATATATATATATATAGTCCTCCTGAAATAGTCCATGGTCCAGTCTGCTGAACACAAATAGAACACAGCATATTTGCTCAGGAGATATTTACATCATATCACTGATCGCCCAGAAGAACCATCCATTCTGGAGCCTAAGCTTGTTTACTGAAGTTTGAATTGTCTAGAGGGCTGGCTGCTTTCCTGTATGTTTAATCTTTTGCCATTTAATATTTAGGATAGGCTTTTGATGAATTACAGATTTGTTTGGGCTTCTTAATAATGTTCACCCCCATTTTCACTGACATTGGAATGACCCCTTTCTGACCTGCTGACCACAGGAATTTTATGCTTCAGAGAAAACTAACCTTATATTACACTAGTAAAGTATTTGAAAATTCACCTTGTGCCATTCAGAAATCTTTTCTTCTTACAACCCCAATCCATACACAATCTCAATTGATATCAGTGGGAAGTCTGTCATGGCCTGGAGGATATTTGAAAATAAAGGGTTCAGTTGTTCCCTTGGTAGTCCTGCCTACCACCTGTTAATATTGATGAAACTTACATGGACATACCTAGAAGAGAATGGACCATTAGCATTTCTTTAACATTTCTAAATCTGCAACTAGCTGGGCATATTTTAAATTTTATATGATTTGCTTAACTATTTAATTCCATGAGCCATTGCAAGAATATCTTCAGGGACTATCATGTTCTTCTGAGACCTATTGAATGATAAACTGAATTTCTGGATGGATGTATGAATTTAACTGAAACTCTGTAGGAAATTAACTGATCATGTCCTTTTCAACAGGAAAGGGCAGTAGACAAATGCAGAATTAATTTTTATCTGTCAGTCATTTTACCAGCCTTTGGAAATATTTGGCATTAATAAAGGGTAGGCTTACAGTGTTTTGTTGGTGTGTTTTTAAAATTGAAAGTACATTGTAAGACACTAGAACTCTACTTGAAGTCCCTACAAAACATTTCAAGAAAGAGTATTTATAAATTTGCTTTTAAATCTAAAAGAAAATAATTATTCTACAAGAAGATATTTCTACAAGAATAGACTCATGGCTGAATCAATAATACATGAATCACAAAGTTTGAGTAATTTCAGATTAAACTAGACAAGTAATTTTAGGTTTTATTTTATCATTGAAACCAGAGGCTTGCAATATGTACATTAATTGATGCCAATTTTTTGATCAAACTTTCCAGGAGCCATATGCAATTTAAATTATTGGCCGACTATGAACAAGTAATTTGGGTTTGGTTTAAAGATGTCAGAAGTTAATAAAAATACTTCCAGTAGGTTGGATACTAATGGGCTACGTCTACACTGGCACCCTTTTCCAGAAATGCTTAAAACGGAACAGTTTTCCGTTATAAGTATTTACGGAAAAAGTGCGTCTACATTGGCAGGATGCTTTTCCGGAAAAGCACTTTTTCTGGAAAAGCGTCCATGGCCAATGTAGACTCACTTTTCCGAAAAAAAGCCTCGATCGTCATTTTCGCGATTGGGGCTTTTTTGCGGAAAAGACTACTGTGCTGTCTATACTGGCCCTTTTCCGGAACAGTTTTTCCAGAAAAGGACTTTTGCCCGAACGGGAGCAGCAAATTTTTTCTGGAAAAACACTGACAATTTTACAGTAGATTGTCATTGTTTTTCCAGAAAAGCAAGCGGCTAGTGTAGACTTGAAAGTAGGAATAAGGAATAAGGGATCTTCCGGAAAAGGGCTTATTTTCCGGAAAATCATGTCTACACTGGCGCTTTTCTCCGGCAAAAACCCCGAGTTGGAAAAAAGCGGCAGCCACGTAAATGCAAATGCTGTGGGGGATATTTAAATCCCCCACATTCCGAAGTGTCTCATTAGCATCCCTTTTCCGGAAAGGGATGCCAATGTAGACACAGCCCAAGGGTATGTCTACACTGCTACCCTAGTTTGAACTAGGGTGGCTAATGTAGTCATTCGAACTTGCAAATGAAGCCTGTGATTTAAATATCCCAGGTTTTATTTGCATGTTCCCGGGCGCCACCATTTCTAAATGAGTAACGGTAGTTCGAATTAGGAGTTTTAATTCGAACTACCTAGCCCGTGCCACGTGCAGCCGCGGGCAGGTAGTTTGAACTACGGAGCATTTAAAAACGGCGGTGCCCGGAAACATGCAAATAAAGCCCGGGATATTTAAATCCCGGGCTTCATTTGCAAGTTCGAATGACTACATTAGCCACCCTAGTTGGAACTAGGGTGACAGTGTAGACATACCCTTAGATGTTTTATTTTGTTTGAACTGCAGTGAGGCTTTTTCCCTTATAGCCTTATAGTCTAATATAATATATTTATGTGGGATCATTTAATTAACTTTCTTTGAATCCTTGAGTTAAATGTAGGGCTGTTAATTGACCTGCGTTAACGCATGCGATTAACACAGGACAGGATTAATGCGTTATTTTTTTTAACGCGTTAATCACAGGTGTTAATGCTGTGCTGCCCCTTCGAAGTGCCACTTTAGCACCTCAAAGGGGCAGTGCAAGTGGAGCCAGGGATCAGCGGTCCCCAACCTTTTGAGGTTGTCGGGCGCCAGGGGGCATGGCCGTTTGCCCGCCGGGCGCCAGGGGGCGGGGACACTAGCCAGCCCTGGTGTTGGGGACGACGGCCCTAGCTGATCCTTGGAAACACTGCCGTGGCGCTTCCGAGGGGCAGTGTTGCATGGAGCCCAGGGTCAGCTGGGGACTGCAGTTGAAATGCCACCGGGGTGTTTCAAAGGGGAGGCGCATGTGATTAATTGTGTGATTAATCATAATTAACTTTTTTAATCACACTATTAACCACAATTAAATTTTTTAATCGCTTGACAGCTCTAGTTAAAGGCTTAACTCAATAGCTCTGCAACATATTGAAAGGAACCATGTGTGCTAGTATATTTATATGATCACTGAGCAATGTGTTTAAAATGCCATGGAGAATAGTTTCTCCCCTGCTCTGCTCCTGAAATTTGGCTAAGGTGCATCTTCATGGAACTCAGTGGAGGGAGGTAAAGCAACCCATTTCATGCAGAATGGCTTTTTCATACAAATAGTATTCTACTGGTGCACAACAATATTGATTCTCATATAGCACTTTTCATAAGAAGATCTCAAAGTGATTCACAAATGTTTAATATGTTTATCCTGACAATGTAGTATTGTTACCCCCATGTTTACAGATGGAGAACTAAGTTTAAGCACAGAAAGGTAATATTTACCCAATGTCAAACAGGAAGTCAGAGATTTTTGAGGGTGTGAAGGCACTATATATCTATTCTAAATGAGCACCAAGTAGTCCATCAATATGAGGGAATCCCAAGTGGATACAAAGCAAGCTTAGAAAACTACATCATCTCCTCCTTCACCTTCTTGGAACTGGAAGTAGGAGGAGATGTGTCATGGCCTGAAGCACACTGCTCTGCAGCCTATTGCTACCATGATGGCCTCTTAAGAGGAGACTTATAGCTTGGCAGAATGCCATTTTAGTCCCCTAGCCAGTCCCAGGATTATGGAGCAGAAAGCTGGCTTAAAGCCACCTTTGCTTTCTGTGTCCTTTATGGCTTCCTAAGGTGTTTCTGGAAATTGTCAGATAGCTGCCTCTGTTCAGTCTCTTCCAAGTGTAGAGATTTTCTCCAGTGAGTATTGCAAAGCATATTGAACTGAAGTGATTACCTGCAGCTATTGCCATTGTCTATTCAAGGGCTAAGGAGGGCAGAATGCAAAATGTAGCCATTTGTGGAGGGAGGAGGGGAGCTTTCAAACCCAACCCTTATTTATACATGTCTCTGTGATGTAGTCAGTGATTT